TATCTTAGGCAGAGTAAAGGTAGGCCAGAATTATCATTCCTAGGCTGTGGATAGAAAGCTGTGATAGAAAGAACCTGGGATGGCTAAGGCCACCCACTGTATTTGTGGATGAGATGAGAGAATTGGTGATTTCTCAGAGGTAGGCAACCTGATATTCTCCAGATATATTGGACTATAACACCAAGAAGTCTCAGTAAATGGTCAGGGATTATAAAATGTGTGCTCCACAACATGTCCAGGACACCCTGGGCTTAGCTACACTCTTAGCCCCTAAGCTACACTGGGTCACTGTAAATACACAGGGGTCATCTGTTGAAGAGTGTCTAAAACTTAAATACACTGCTTGGGTTTTATTTGTTAAATCTAGACACCTCTGCGCACTTCTACAGAAAATTATTTAACTGAACTCAGGATCATTTCCACATACAAATTAGGAGGGTGGCTACTCGGAGGAGGGCTTTCTCAGCGGTGGCGCCCAAGTTATGGAATGCGCTCCCCAGAGAGGTCCGCCTGGCGCCGTCGTTATTTGTTTTTCGGTGCCAGGCAAAGACCTTTTTATTTAAGCAACATTTTAAATGTTAATACCACTGAATTTTATCTGGCCAGGGCGGCTTATTTTATATTGTGTGTATATTGTATTTTAAATTATTATTACTATTCTATATGTATATTTTAATTTATGTGGTTTTATTTATTGTTGTAAGCCGCCCCGAGGCTTCGGCAAATGGGGCGGCATAAAAATGTTTTAATAAATAAATAAAATAAATAAATACAGTCTCCTAGTCCGCATCACCACCATATGAGGCAGCTGACAATGTACCCCAAGGAAAAGACAGCTTTAAGGAAGCACAATGTCAAATCCCAAGGATGATCAATGTATTAAACTGACCCTCAAGTCTATAGAAGATTATATTGTCATTCTACCTGTCAACAACAGACATGTTGCTGTACAGAGTGTGCCTCAAGAATTAACTGTATAGGATAACTGGGTGATTTCTCATCCCTCACCTTTTTGCAATAAGAACAGTGGGTAAAGATGGCTAAATCTCTGGTGCAGGGTTTTAGCACACCAGGAGATGTGACAAAATGAGAAGCATCATTCGTAAGTTAATTTTCAGAGAGATACCCTGAAGCTACAAACAAAAAGATGTGGCCAGGAAAGGGTATAGAAACACCGGTAACTTCAGTGGAAGAATAACCACACAAATATTAGAGGAAATATAGAAAAAGATACAGGGTTGAACAAAAGAAGAGCCACATAAAATAAATGTGGAAAAGATAAGAAGGGGAGAAAAGAAAAGGAAACTAGAAAGAGATTCATAAAAACAAGAAACTTTGAACTGGTTTGCACAACACAACAACCTTCCGTGCATAACGAACGAGAATGGCTGCAGAGCTGCGTAGTCGAATGTGGCAACCCCACCTCCTGCCACTTGTTTTCACAATCTCACTGGTGACTGCCCTTCAACTGATGCCAAACTGGTGCTTTGGCAGGCCCAAGAATCATTATTTGGCTTTTTATTTTGCATTTTCAGGACCTCAAATGCTCAGCTGGGGTCATACTTTTGGTGTCAGGCAAAAACCTTTTTTAATTTCCCCATCATTTTAATGTTTAGATTATTTTATCGGGGGTTTTATTATCTTAGCTAGATGCTGTGTTGCTTTGTTTATCTTAATCTTTTTCATTGTAAGCCATCCTGAGACACTAGTGGTGCAGGGGTTAGAAAAGCTTTTAATAAATAGATAGATAAATAAATAAATAAATACTTTAGTATCATTGCAGGTCCTTTCTAGATTACTGCGGTTCCCTGACAGTTCTAAATGGACCTGCAGAAATATAGGCAACTTTAAAGGCTGGGAAGTAAATGGAGGGGACATTTGTGCCCCATCAGGGACTCACATTAACTGCTCTGAATAAGAGCCATGAGAAGGTGGGGGATCTCAATATCTCCCTTTTCTGGAAGTGCTTGAAAAGACGGAAGATTCTAAGAAGTGTCAGTTCAACATTCCTGCTGCTGCTATTGCTCTGTCACTGCACAAGTATTTATTTCCCCTTCATTTACTTCACAACCATTAAATTTGCATATATTCCTGTGGCCTGGGATATGTGTGTGTTGAAAGTCAGGATGCTACCATAACTACTTGAAAAAGTAGGGGAAGGGAGAGGGGAAGTAAACATGTGGAGTGGCTGTAAAGTCTGGAAGTGTTGAAAAGTTGGAGTGAACTGAGAGCTGTCAGTTCAGCACTAAAAATAAAAAAACACACACACACACACACATTGCTAAGGGGAAAATATTGCCCCAGCCTTTTCGCTACACCTGCTGTTGCTGCTTCCCTCCCATTAGCTCCCCCCCCCCCCCCCCCCCGGTTTACTGGTGCTTTTAAATAGGCAGCTAGGCACTTGGACCTGGCAACTGTGCACATATTCGCCTATATGCAAACCTCAACTTTTCCTCCCATTGACAGCTGAAACATGCAAGGATATTGACCAGGCAAGACTACATGTATCTGATAGCCACAGCTTTGAAGGACCAACAAAACTGAAAAAAATGCACAGTTCTCAGAGGGCAAAACATTGTTCTAAAATGAAACCAACTGTGTTTTTGAAACACTGGGAGAGAAATCCCTGACTGTGAAGGAAGGAAGATGCAGTGATTAGAATGGGAACGGGGAGACAAGACAGGTTCTGCTGAGACGGATGCTAGAATACCAGCTGGGGAACCAAGTGGGAAAACAAGCTCTGTCTAGCACACTATCATTGTTAAATGAACAACCAACCTGGCAGGACTTATTTGTTGGGAGGGTTAGTGCGCCATGCAAGCCTGCCTGGTCAATATGTTCCAGTCCACAAAGGAAAGCTCAGTTCAAGACTTAGTATCTTACTAAGGGTTTGATAATGTCCACCACAGTCCAGGCTGCTGTTAGCTACTCAGAAGAGGAGGGTACATTTCCCTGTGGCACTAACAACAGCTTCTGGGTAGGAAATGGCAACTTAGATTATGAAAATGGTACAGGGAAAGGGTCAAATATAATCTCCCTCAACCCTACTGCTTAGCTGCCACCTGCAGCAGCATTTAAATAAAAGCAAACATGAGATGATCCAAATAGACTTCTTGTGTAACATGCAGTTGAGCCCTCATTAAAACAAGAGTCCCATCCAACAATACTTTTAGAAATGTGAAAATAAATGTCCTGGTGCACCTTAGAGATGGAAACCCTCATTATAACCTAAAACTTGAAAGCTCTTGAAAGCTGTACTAGCCTTTAAGACGCAGCAACACTATTTTTACTGTCTTTGGGCAACAGGTTAACACTGCAACCCTTCTGGAAAAAATATTAATGTATACACCTAAGTGGTTGTTGTATTCAAGCATACATATACAAGTTGAATGAGACAACTGTGCTTCCATGTACACATTAGAAAATCAGAATTAGCTACAGCTCCTGGATCAGTAAATGCTCTTTAGTGAGCACAAACTTACTAAAACCAAATGGGTGGCGTGCCTGAAAGGACATAGGAACATATTTAGAATTTTCTGTAGAAGTGGCTGTTAGGGAACTGCAACATAAAATTTAACCCAACACAAAACGGTTCCGAAAAGGCTGTCATCATAGTGATCCATGTCCAACGAAACAGTTGCACATAGCACATAGTGTGCGTCATGATTCAGCCAGCTTTTAATTGTAAAGGGCACTCCCACCTTCTAAGGCAGCCTTCCTCAGCCTGGGGCCCTCCATGTACCTTGGATAACAGCTCCCGCCATTCCTGACCATTGGCCATGCTGGGTGGGGTTGCTGGAAATTTCAGTCAAAAACACCTGAAGAGCACCAGGCCAAAGCAGATGGACTAGGATGGACAGTAAAGCACTGATTTTTATGACTAGGATTGGAAGGAATATTTCCACACAAGGGAGCCTGTCGGGTGTTCGGCTCTGGCCAACTGGATTCCTGGGGTGGGATACCTGCTACAGGAAAAGGTGATAGTGTCCCTGCATTGTGGGGTCATGTATTTTTATACACCCCTTTTCAACCAACACTGGCTTCTTGAAAGCTGCCAAAAAGATGACACAATTTAGGACGGATAAGAAATAATAAAAATAAAGTCAGTCAATAAAGAGTAAAAAGAGAAAGGTCCTGGCAGAATCTGCTCTTAGAAGTCCTCTGGCTAAAGACAACTCCCACAACCACTAAGGATGCACATTCTGCCCAGCGTGGATCAGTCAGTTCGCCAGAGCGCTGCCCGCCCGCAGCCTTTGCGAACGCTTCCGCACCCAGCCAGACCGCGTTTCGGTTCAAGCCATTTCCTCGAGACTTTCGGGACACGGGCACCTGCATACCCAAGCGCTTACAAGCGCTCTAGTATCTGAAACGTCGCTTGCAACACGTGATGGTTACGTGCATGACTGCTTCACCCTAACTCAAGATTAAACTTTGAGTGGGTGGGGAAGAGACCTATAAATAAAGTTCCGGGGGGGGGGGGGACGTAGGAGAAAGAGCCCTGCGTGTGGAGGAAAGCGCGCACGCGCGCGCGGAGCAGGGTGGAGAAAACGGCGAGGCGCTACTCTGCTGTCCGCGCGTGGGGAAGTACCTGTCCCCATTTTCCCGATGGCGAGCCACGGGGAGGAAAGGGGAGTCTTCAGCGAGCCTTTGATGCAATGTCGGCTGCTGCGCTCAGCGCCCTCCCCAAGACTTTCCGGAGACAATATAACGCACTTTTTAACACTCAGACGCGTCCCTCGCCCCGCCATCAGGACGTCCCGCGGATTCCACGAAAACCCCGCACCTCTCCACCCACAGTGCTTGCTACCCGACAGTTTCACGAGTGGCCGCCGCTCCCACCCACACACCGCGAGCGCGCGGCGGGAGGACTCACGGCGGCCCCCAGTAATCGCGCTGCAAAGGTGGCGGCGAGGTGAGAGGAGAAGGAAGAGGCGTGCGGGGGGGCGCGTGGCTGGGCGCTCCTCCCTCGCACCGCGTATGCCGGCTTCGCGCTCGCCTACCTTCGAAGAAGCGCTGCAGAGCCTCCGTCTCGTCCACCACCTCCATAGCTGTGCCATGCACGAAGCGGCCGGACTAGTCGCCGCCGAGCCGGCAGGGGGACATCCCCCCGGCTAGGGCGCCTCGAGCCGTGCGATGCCGCTGGCGCGCGCGCCCCGGAGCCGTTTCTCCCGGGACCTCGGGCGGCGGCGGCGGCGCTCCCTCGACTGTGGCCCCGGCTGACCCGCGCCCTGAGGTGAGTGCGGGCACCCGTCAAGCACACGCAAACCCAGAGCTGGGGAGCAGCAGCAGCAGCGCCAGCAGGCGCGCTCTCAGCCGGGGAGACCCGCTCCCAGCCTCCCCCTGCGGGCGCTGCGCTCGGCCTGCACCACGCTGCCTGGCACTCAACTTGGGCTGCCGTTGCTGCGCTCCGGCTCTGCGGACGTCCCAGCCTCTCCCCTCACGCCCTCCCCTTCTTCCCCCGCCGCCGCCTCCCGCCTCCGTGGCTCCTGCACTCTACTGGCCGGAGCCGGCACAGCAGAAGCTCCCCGCCTGGGGCAAGCGAGGAGCGAGAGGTGAGCGCCGCCCGGTAAGGGCACGCGCGTCTCTTGCGCCTGCTTCCTTGGCGAGCGTTGGCTCCTTCAGAAGAGCTACACGCCGCTTTTCCAGTCTCCGGAGGGCAGCGCTCCAGGCCGTTTGGGGCTATTAAAGGCTACCGGACAAGCCAAAATTCAGCAGGTGTGCCACAGCCCTGTCACTGTCAAAACCTCCATCTTTTGTCCTGTCACAACATCGGTCTCGCAAAACTCGCAGCTAGGGGGACTTTCTCCTAGAATAGGGGAGCCTGGAGGCCACCTCGAGTTCGGAAAGCTCTAAGGCATCATTAGGCAGTGGCTGCATAGTTTTCAAAACTTGAATTTAGAGGCAAAGATTCAGCGGGCAAAGCATTTCTTTCTGTGCTTGGCAAGGTTGCACCTGTGGGATTATGCACCTGCTGTGCAAAAAACCTGCCAAGCATAGCAGAGAGTGACAATCCTAGGGGGTGTATTATAAAAATGCAGCCTTTTAAAAATGCTAGAATCAATTCAGAAGCAGGTTAATAGTATGGTCCACATTTGCCTTCACTTCAAGCTATGGGAGCATCATGAGTAGGCTATGAACTTATGCTCAATCAAATTCTGTCAGAGTTTCTGTTAGAGAAACAAATACTTTATAAATGTACCCCATCGTTCCAGTATACAGATTTGTATACATATCTTATAATGATCTTCATGAAGAGGAGAAAAAATGTGACACACACAAAAACAGTATGTAGCAGACCTTTGAGCTATGTGGGAGAACGCCCAATGAAAAAGCTGTGTGTGTTTCAAATGCTTGGCCCACATAAATAAATAAGCAGTGACTCTGGCCAGTTTCCAATAGACTATTTAGCATCTTCTGCATGCTGGGATTCTTGAATCAAATGCTCAACTAGGTGCCCTTCAAGTGATCCACTGGGTAACCTGCTTTCATATGCAAACATGCATATTTTGGATCATTTATTAGGATCACAAATTAGCTATGACAAAACTGCAAAGAGCTCCTAAGCATGCACGTTTGCTTTGTAAATGAAGACATCTATGCATCTTTCTTTCTTCTAAATAGATCACCTAAAACTGAAGTCTAGTCCCATCTTGGCAATATTAGGTTTACTTCCCATAGTTCCCACTTCTAGAGTTCCATCATAAAAGAACAATTATAGTTTAGTGTCATGTCATGTCTATATTTGGCATTAAGCTTGTCAGAGAGCCACTGCTGATCCTAGCTTCCTGGAATGCATGATCAGGCAAACCTGAGTTTTTTGCATTCATTAATAATTATTTTCCTTCCATGCACTCATGCCAAATACTTAGCAAGTACCTTAGCTAATATTTGAAATGTCATAGTACAACAGTACTCTGAACATCAAATTTTGAGCAAAACCCTGTGTAGAACTTGTAGAGCTTTAGAGAAAAAGCACTTTTGTGTTATATTGGGATAGTTGCCTTAAAACTCAATCTTGTGAACATCAGAGCCGTCTTAACGCATGGGCCTGATGGGCACTTGCCCATGTGCCCCATACTGATCTGTGTATGTTAACCCTTAATCTGTGTATGTTAACTCTTGGAAAATTGGAAAACTTCCAAAATTAACAGTAGTTGTAGTTGTCGTAGGCGCCCCAGTACACTGCTTTGCCCGGGGCCTATAATGCTGTTAAGACAGCCCTGGTGAACATTTCCCTGAAAACAAGTGGAATGTGCTCCCTACTACTGGCTTTAGGATTATAACCTTAAGGTTTGAGGCTGCACTATTCCATGCACATTACAAAGGAGTAAACCCCACTGAAGTCAAAGGAACAGACTTCTGGGTAAACACAGACCTTATCAGGCTGTGTCTACTTTAAATACACTGCACTCTTCCATATTTACCACCTATTTCTTCAGATGTTGCAGTTCTGGCATCTGGTGAAATTGGTTCTAGCTGAAGCTTGTGCTGTCTAAAATCAGTTAAAGGTTACAGTTGGCTTAAACAACTTTTTAGGAAGGTACTCATATATGTGCATGTCCCTCCAGCTCTGGCAATGTTATCAATGGCATGTTACTGGACTAATTCCAAAGTGGCTGCAAATTGCTGCCCTAGCATGAGAATGGTGCATCCAGATCTGCAACTATTAATAAAATAAGAGAAATGCAAAACTCTGTTTTCTACAGATTCAAGTGGAAGCCCATAGCCCCACTGCTACCCTGTTCTGTCCTTTCCAGTACAGGGACAAAAGCACAGTCAGTCCCTGAAAGGTATTGATCCTAAGAACTTTAAGGAAGGGTTTTCCAGAAAATCCACACTATGTATTGCACATCTCCCCAATCATTGCAGAATGTATTTCATTCCACATTACACATGAAGCTGTTCTTGCCACTTTGATGGAAGTGATCCACAGTGCAACACAGCCTGTGCCTTCATCCTTGCCAAGAAAGGGAGAAGGATAATTTCTTTTCAACTGGGAGCTGCCATTTCAAGGAAGGTGATCCTTTTCACCACTCTGTACACAATCATCCCTTTGGAAAGTCTTTTGAACAAGGAAGGATCTTTCTTAAAAGGGGCAGGGAAGCAAAAGCTTTTACCAGAAGGGGCTCCCCATTTCAGTTCAGCTCCACATAAGACACTTATGGGGCTACAGATTTCATTACCAGGATTTCATTGGCAGCACTTCCTTGAATTCAGTGTCCCAGTGCATTAAGGTTGCAATTCTGCAGAGTAAGCCCTAGTGTATCTAAGTAGACATGTCACTTCAAAGCTAGGAAATGACTTTTTGTTCTGATCAGATTAGGAGCTGACTGTGTGGAAAAAAGAGGGTGGAATTCCACTTTCCCTCATAGCATAGGTCTTTATACAAACATTTGCATTCTATATTTGCTTTTATTAATTCTATAGTTCTTTGTCTTTGGAATACATTTGCAGAATTAAAAAAATGAATAAACATGTGTGTGTGGAAGGTGGTAGAGAATAAGTCTGGTGCAAAATGAAACACAGAGGGCAGTATCCAGTATGGCTGCCGAGCTTATGCAGTTGATGTAGCATCAGTGCAAGCCACTTCCAGTGCAACAGCAATGGGGTAAACTGCCCCAAGGGTGCCAGTGGAAAATTCATTGTGCCAGCTTAGGTTATGAACATTGTGCTGGAAGTTACCTGTGTGTAAGTACAGCTGCCCCACTGAATATTGCCCAATGGGTTGAATTTAATGTCTGTCTAACTTATGGCCCATTCATTTCAATGCATCTACCTTAAGTAGAGGATTGAATGCAACTCACAGTTTTGAATGTTTATTCCTTTGCTGTATAATTGCTCGAACATTAAAACACAGTTAGTCAGTTTTCTTACTTTCTGTCTCTTCTCATATGTTCTAATTGCTGTTTATTATCGCCCAAAATCCATACACAATGAGTTAGGTTGTTACTCTGTGAAACTTGCAAAATCGAATATTTAGCAAGGGAGAAAAAGATGGTTAAAAAAACTGAACATCGGACATGAGTCACAAATCAAGATTATGAACAACTAGAGTTGTGAATATTCTTGGTTTGCTTACAGCTTTAAAAAAGAAAACTGGAGAATCTTAAGCATGAATGTGTTCAGTAGAAAATGAAAGGGAACAGTTGAGAGAACGGGAGAGAAACCAGACATGATTAAAATAGCTAACATATCTGAAAAGAAATAGTGATCCAAGATGTGATCAGTCTTGGGCTTGGATTGGGGACACTTGGATTCAAAATCTCTGTTGCCCATGAAGCTCATCATTAACTTAGAGAAATCACTTTTTCTCATCTTAGATTTCTCCCAGCCCTTGTTGTGAAGATAGAACAGGCTAGCCCTATATTTGTCCACCTACTGCTTTCCACAGAATAGTGGAGTATAACTATAACGCATAAATAAAAATAATGAGATGGTCACAGAGGAGGAGATCATAGGAACCCTTACAGGAGATCATTACAATAACCAAAGAATGAGTGAGAGTTTTGGCAGAGGGAAGGAATACGAAGGTTGAAATCAACAACAGGCAAATGTGGAAAGGAAGGAATCAGAGAGAAACCACTTCCAAACATATAGTAGGAGCAGGCCTTTTATGGAGCCTTCCAGAGCTACCAGCTTCAGTGCATGACCACACAGCCCCCAGTCCTTGCAAGTACCTGCACATATAAACCTAGTTCTGCAGGCGCTCGCACCGTGAGCCATGCTGTCTTTCGCCAACAGTGCACCAAAGGATGCTGTGTCGTGGCTTCAGATCCTGACAGGTAGGCTTCTCCCCATCTCCTGCATTCTTGTCCATCAATGAGGACCAAAGCATGCATTGCACAGTTAGCAGCTGCGGCTTTTAAAACCTACAGTAAATGTGGAACCATGTAGGGCAGGGGTCTCAAACCCAACTTACCTGGGGGCCACTGGAAGTCGAGTCTGGGTGAGGCTGGGCCGCATCAAGTATTCCACCACCGGTGGAGGCGGTGGGGGTGGGCCGGGCGCCACCGGCGCTTTGAAGGCCACAGGGCCCCTCCCCCGTGCCCCGCCTGTCCTGGCAATTGGCCCGCGGGCCGCAAGTTTGAGACCCCTGCTGTAGGGGCTGTGCTCTGGATTGGGGTTCTAGCAGGGGGAGAAGGGGGCTTTTAAGCCTTTTGCCACACAGCAGTCTTAATTCAGATCACGCCCCCCCCCCATGTTATGCCCATAATTTATATGGTCAAAAAGTGACTCATTAAGCAAAGGGATTACTTTTAAGCAATATCTATTGCAAGTAGTAATTGTTGTTATGAAACCACCACCACCATCCCAGCTGCCACAGAGGAAAAGGGTTCACAAGTGCTTTGGGTCTGTGACTGTTGCTCTGGGCAGAACAAAGACCTTCCAATTTTTCTCCTTTGAGCC